AGCAAAATTGCCGATCTAAGACCTGCTGACAGAAACTACCTAACGATGAAGATCAGTCAAGCCAACCCTGATGACCTCGAAAAGGGCTGGAAACAGCTCACTCGACAAATCAGAGATATTGCGCGGACAATCGGCTACAAAAGAATTCAAGAGTGTACCGGATCGACCAGCATGGTTTTGGAACAATGACGTAGCAACAGCGATTCAGTCCAAGAAGAATGCGTACAAAGTCTGGCATCTTAACCCTACGACCGAGACCAGGGAAGATACTGTGTAGCTAAACGAGAAACCAAGAAAACCATCGCAAAAGCTATCCAAGACAAGACGGATATAATGATCGCGAAGCTGAACACTAAGGAAGGTGAAAAGCTCATCTACCGCCTTGCTAAAGGACGCTCAAGAGCAACACAGGACTTCGTAAACACAACAACCTTCATCAAGGACAAAAATGGAGTACTCTTGCACGAATTCAGCAAAATCAAACAACGTTGGCAAGAACACTTCCAAGAAATCTGCAACGTCGAGTTCCCACATCCACCACTCCCGAAAGAGCCGCAAACTCATGGACCTATACCGTGCATCACCGAGCAAGAAGTCGATGAAGCTATGAAGAAGATGAAAAATGGGAAAGCCACCGGTCCTGATGACATTCCAGTAGAAGTCTGGAACCAACTTGGAGGGTGCCGTTACCTGACTCAGCTCTTCAATAAGTGTATTGAGAAGGGTGCGATCCCGACAGATTGGTCAAAAAGCGTCACTGTGCCCATTTACAAGAAGAAAGGTGACATCGCCAGCTGCTCCAACTATCGCCCAATTCGCCTGATGTGCCACACCCTGAAAATTTTCGAACGAGTTTTGGACGCCAGGCTCAGAGAGATAGTTAACATCAGTCGGATGCAATGTGGTTTTCGACCAGAGCTCGGAACCACCGATGCCATTCACGTGGCTCGACGCATGATGGAAAAAGCGAAGGAATGGAATAGACCACTGCACATGGCTTTTTTGGATTTGGAGAAAGCCTTCGACCGAATACCCCGTCAACTCATATGGGAGGCGCTCCGATACCAACAAATACCAGAAGCACTCGTTAAAGCTGTGCAGCTAACCTACCTTAATTCCTCAACTGCCATCCGAACACCTGTAGGTGATACCTCACAGTTCCCAGTCACAGTTGGAGTTCATCAAGGGTCGGCCCTCTCACCATTACTCTTCATTCTATGTATGGACTATGCGTCGAGGAAAATTCGGAAAGAGCCCCCGATGACGCTTGGGTACGCTGATGATATACTGCTAATGGATCGGTCGAAAATGAAATTAGAGAGACGTGTCAATCAGTGGATGAAACAGCTAAAGGACCATGGACTCAGGCTCAACATCAACAAAACAGAATACATGTGCACAACGGCCACAGAGTCTTCGATCACAGTAGACGGAGCATCCCTACCCAAGACCACCAAGTTTCCGTATCTAGGGTCCACACTGGCCGCGGACGCCGATAGTAAAGCCGATACAATTGCTAGAATAAACGCTGCATGGAACAAATGGAGGACTGTCACTGGCGTTCTCTGTGACAGGAAAATGCCGATCCGCCTGAAGTCTAAAATTTACACCTCAGTCGTGAGACCAGTCGCCATCTATGGAGCGGAAACGAAGCAGATGACGGCTGACGAAACGAGAGCATATGGGTCTATGGAGATGAAGATGTTACGATGGAGTCTGGGACACACGCGATTCGACCACATTCGGAACGAAGACATTCGAGACAAGATCAAGGTCCAACCGATCGTCAATTCCCTTGCCTCCTCTCGCCTACGCTGGTATGGTCACATTTTGCGAAGGCCTCCAGACACCGTGTCCAGATCAGCCGATAGTATTACCTTCACAGGTACACGCCCGAGAGGCAGACCCAAATTACGATGGATGGACAACGTGAAGATCGACATGAATGCTGCTGACCTGTCTGCAGACGATGCATGGAATCGAGATCGCTGGAAAGCCTTGGTGAAAAGAGCGTACCCGACGAAAGTTGGACAACAAAGAACTGTCACGCGTTGCCGGCGGACTGTCACAGGAAATCACGCCTTCGGACAATTTCAAGTATTCAACGATCTCCTACATCTCATGGGCTCTGCGCGACCCCTCTTTTATAATTTGAATCCAGCCATACGAAATTCGCAATGCATCGGTAGTCCTAGTATTGTATAAAATTACCGCCACTTCAAAGGAGCGCGCACATTTTATCTCAAATGATAAGAAGGCATGTGAACTAGCACTTTCCATAACTGCGTCAAATTTTGCCTAAATTTGAAGATCGTGGGGTCTACAAGGCGTTTGCTTTCGGAATCCCAATAACATCCCCTCGGGAGTAGGAAAGTTCTATTTTCATAAAAAAACATTTTTCGTGGCAAACTTCTAGCGCGGTAAAAATTTCTGGTTTCATCCTTCCTAAAGAGCACCTGACCGCTTTACAAGGCCCAGTTTTCAAAAAAAACCCACGCTGGGACTTGTTTCGTAGATTTTCGCAGTAGCTTTGCGTTTGAGCATGAAGCAGTCACAATTTCCATTGAAGAGCATTTATGGAGGAGTATCGGCAAGAGAGAGCAATTCTCAAAATGCTTTCTAGTGTACAAGTGAGAGCTTCTTCAAAACCTGGCACTTGTGAATTCTCAAAAAGTCAATCTAGCTGCTTCATTGCACTTCTTCGTCGTAAATGGAGCGAAATGCATTCTAGATTATTTTTTTCGTTCGTTCTGAATTCAAAACACTATTCGATGCACTACGAACGCGCTTGTATTAGGTTGTCTCATAAATAGTGTCGCTTTTTTTCAACCAAAAAATTTTCATCTAAATCCCCATGCTTTTACATCGTTCATATACCATTCGAAAGAGAATTGTCTGCTCTACAAGTTATGTTCCTCTTCCACCTATGTTCCAGGGTTTTCAAATTTTAGGCCTGCGAAATGGGAGGTCCAGCCGACAAAAATTGACCAAACCGACAACTAGCTCTAACTTTATTTTCCCTGGGAGAAATCAATCAATGATGTACCCTCTACTTACTCATGACCTCTTCTGAACATTCCACCCTTAGGTTGCCGAAAAAGGTTTGCCTGTTTCTTTTCGAATTGGCCGACCGATAAGCCATGGCAATTTTCAAATTGAAATTCTTCCTCTGAAACGCTATTGTTTTATATCAACTGGTGTATCTTTTGTGAGCACTTCTGCTCTATTCGCTCATTTGTTTTGTTTTTATGTTTGTTGGGAATTAGTTCGAATTTTAGGTGTTTAGGATAAGGTGCTTTATCCACGAAAGTGACCGCATTTCTTTGAAAAAAATTATCCCTGAGAAGATGAGAAAATCAACCAGGCGTACATTCCTAACTTAGTCATGACTTGTTCTTTAAATTCTACTAGTTTTTCAATGTCTCGGCTATAAAAAAATTTCGACCTCGATCTCAGGTAATGGTGCTTGACCGTCGAGTTCTGGTTGAAAAACCAGGTCTGGAAATGGAACGACGCGACTTGTTGGGAAACCTAATAGTGTAATGTTTAGAAGAGGTCATGCATAAGTAGAGGGTACATCATTGATTGATTTCTCCCAAGGGAAGATAAAGTTAGAGATAGTTGTCGGTTTGGTCAATTTTGTCGGCTGGACCTCCCATTTCGCAGGCCTAAAATTTGAAAACCCTGGAACAGAGTGGAAGAGGAACATAGCATCTTGTAGAGCAGACAATTCTCTTTCGAATGGTATATGACTCGATGTAAAAGCATGGGGATTTAGATGAAAATTTTTTGGTTGAAAAAAAGCGACACTATTTATGAGACAACCTAATAGCATAGAGTCACGAAGGCCTCTGTTAATCTACTTCCTACTAGCACGGCTTGTGGAAGCCATCCATCTGGCCTTGCATTTCTGGTTTGCTATGGTGTGGCAATTTAATCTTCTTACTTCTGGATCCTTATCTGCCTATTCCATTGACTCTCTA